GCGTGGTGGAGCGGAGCGCCTGGCGGTGCGGCACATGTGCTGAGGTGTGGCGCACGTGGCGGACCCACAATGTGCGCACGTGCGCGGCGGTGTGGCGCACGTGCCGCGGTGTGGCGCAGGGCGTTGTGGCACGTGTACCTGCGGCGTGACGTGCGCGTCGCAGTATGGTGCGCGTGATGGTGTGGTTCACGCGGTGGTGTGACATGCGTGTCACGGGAATCTCGCGGGGCGGTGGTGCGCGCGCAGCGGTGTGGCACACATGACGCGGAGGAATGTGCACGTGGCGGTGTGGCTCGCGCGGTGGCGTGGCGCACGGGCCGCGTTGTCTAGTGGTGGTGATGTTACCGATGACTGTGACCTCGAACCATCAGGAGAGGAAGTGTGGAATAAGCGAGGGGGCCCTGCCAAGAAAAGAGGTGCCAAAGCTCAAAATGACACAGCGCGTCGGATGCTGTTGCGCGGCCGGTGCGTGGGGATTGTGGTGGCGTTGCGCGTCGCGGGGCGGCGGTGGGATGGTGAGCTGTGCTTTTTGGTGTCGCCATAAAGGCTTGAATATTGCAAAATTCCAGGGCAATTTGCCGCTGGTGAATAAACTTATATAAAGTCTCTACTCCTCCGTTGGATCCAGCTAACTGGCCAACAGTCATTAATGACAAAGTACGCATTGATCTGGTTAGCAGAGGACCAGCACATGTTGACCACCACTTCACATTTCCAAAAAGACCATCAGACAATAGGAGATTTCACTATCATTTCATGGTGAGTGATGGTGGTGGTGGTGAGGGTGGTGGTGAGGGTGGTGGTGGAGGTGAGGGTGGTGGTGAGTGATGGTGGTGAGTGATGGTGGTGGTGGTGAGGGTGGTGGTGGTGGTGAGTGATGGTGGTGAGTGATGGTGGTGAGTGATGGTGGTGAGTGATGGTGGTGGTGGTGAGTGATGGTGGTGAGTGATGGTGGTGAGTGATGGTGGTGGTGGTGAGGGTGGTGGTGGTGGTGAGTGATGGTGGTGAGTGATGGTGGTGAGGCCACCTCCATCATTACCATCACCACCACCTCCACTATTACCACCACCACTGTAACGTCCACCAACACCACGACCTCTACACTTCCAACATCACCACCTCGATCTCCACCACCACCACTATAACTTCCACCATCGCCACCACCTCCAACATCACCATGATAATCACCACCATCACCTCCACCATCACCACCTCCAACATCACCACCTCCAACATCACCATGATCACCATCACCACCATCATCACCACCCCCCCCGACCACCACCCCCCCCCACCACCCCCACCACCACCCCCCCACCACCACCACCCCCCCCACCACCACCACCACCCCCCCCACCACCACCACCACCACCCCCCCCACCACCCCCACCACCACCCCCCACCACCACCACCCCCCCACCACCACCCCCACCACCACCCCCACCACCACCACCCCCCCCCACCACCACCACCACCACCACCACCCCCACCACCACCATTCCCACCACCACCATTCCCACCACCACCACTACCACCACCACTACCACCACCACCACCATTACTACCACCATCACCACCACCACCACCCCCACCACCACCCCCACCACCATCACCACCACCACCACCACGATTTCACCGCCACCCCCACCACCACCACCCCACCACCACCACCACCCCCACCACCACCATTCCCACCACCACCATTACCACCACCCCCACCACCACCACCATCACCACCACCCCCACCACCACCACCATCACTACCCCCACCACCACCATCACTACCCCCACCACCACCACCACCACCCCCACCACCACCACCCCCACTACCACCACCACCCCCACTACCACCCCCACCAGCACCACCACCACCACCCTCACCACCACCACCACCCTCACCACCACCACCCTCACCACCACCATCACTACCACCACCACCCCCACCACCATCACCACCACCACCCCCACCACCACCACCACCACCCCCACCACCACCACCATCACTACCCCCACCACCACCATCACTACCCCCACCACCACCACCACCCCCACCACCACCACCCCCACCACCACCACCACCACCATCACTACCACCACCACCACCCCCACTACCACCAGCACCACCACCCTCACCACCACCACCACCCTCACCACCACCACCCTCACCACCACCACCCTCACCACCACCCCTCACCACCACCACCACCCCACCACCACCCCACCACCACCACCCCCCCACCACCACCCCCACCACCACCACCCCCACCACCACCACCCCCACCACCACCCTCACCACCACCACCCCCCCCAACCACCCCCACCACCACCATTCCCACCACCACCATTCCCACCACCACCATCACTACCACCATCACCACCACCCCCACCACCACCACCACCCCCACCACCATCACCACCACCACCACGATTCCCACCGCCACCACCACCACACCCACCACCACCACCACCACCGCCCCCACCACCACCCCCACCACCACCATTCCCACCACCACCATTCCCACCACCACCACTACCACCACCACTACCACCACCATCACCACCACCATCACTACCCCCACCACCACCACCCCCACCACCCCCACTACCACCAGCACCACCACCACCACCCTCACCACCACTTAAACCTCATTTCACAGGCCACCAGGTTTGCCGCGACTGAAGGAAAAAAAAATATCAAACAAACATCATCAACAACAACAACAAATAAATAAATAAACACGTCTCGGAGTCCAGATCTACAGGCAACGGACGACAGGAAATGAACAACATTCATGTTTAATAACCATCCTGTCGCTTCATCGACAACGATAGCGCGTCAACAAAGACGCAGATCCACACCCACCCGTGTAGCCTCTAGCAGGCTGTGGGGGCAAGTGCTGTGAGTAGGGGGTTGTTGTGGTTGTTGTGGTGGTTGTGGTTCTGGTGGTGGTTGTGGTGGTTTTTGTGGTGGTGGTGGTGGTTGTAGTGGTGGTTATTGTGGTCAGGGTCGGGATGGAACCCACGACCTCCTGTAGACCAGGCGAGGTGGTCAACATCTCATAGCCACACGAAGCCAGCGGAACGGATAATGTAATCGATGATAATCGATCATCAGAGAGAGGGAGACACGCAAAACGATGATTATAATCGATGGGAATCGATTAGCAGAGAGAGACGCGCAAACCAACGATGAGAATCGAACAAACGATTCCCGGTGACGTCATCACCCGGAGACCATCGCCAAGTTCAAGATGGCGGCACCCAGGTTGGAGGTTGTAGTGGTGGTGGTGGTGGTTGTTGTGGTGGTGGTTGTTGTGGTGGTTGTTGTGGTGGTGGTGGTGGTTGTTGTGGTGGTTGTTGTGGTGGTGGTTGTTGTGGTGGTGGTTGTAGTGGTGGTGGTTGTGGTGGTGGTGGTTGTTGTGGTGGTTGTTGTGGTGGTGGTTGTTGTGGTGGTGGTGGTGGTGGTTGCTGTGGTGGTTGTTGTAGTGGTGGTTGTTGTTGTGGTGGTGGTTGTAGTGGTTGTGGTGGTGGTTGTTGTGGTGGTTGTTGTGGTGGTGGTGGTTGTTTGTGTGGTGGTTGTTTGTGTGGTGGTTGTTGTGGTGGTTGTTGTTTGTGTGGTGGTGGTTGTGGTGGTTGTTTGTGTGGTGGTGGTTGTTGTTGTTTGTGTGGTGGTGGTTGTTGTTGTTTGTGTGGTGGTTGTTGTTGTGGTGATGGTGTTTGTGTGGTGGTGGTTGTTGTGGTGGTTGTTGTTTGTGTGGTGGTGGTTGTTGTGGTGATGGTTGTTTGTGTGGTGGTGGTTGTTGTTGTGGTTGTTGTTTGTGTGGTGGTGGTTGTGGTGGTTGTTGTGGTGATGGTTGTTGTTGTTTGTGTGGTGGTGGTTGTTGTTTGTGTGGTGGTTGTTGTGCTGGTTGTTGGGTTTAAATAGGCTGGATTGTGTGAGGAGCTCACAAATCCTTGAAAGATCTGGGCAAAGTCCCATCGGTGAGCTCCTCCGGCAGGCAAGGCTGCGTTGGCTGGGTCATGTAGCCCGCATGCCCAGCCACCGCATGCCTAAACAGCTTTTGTTCGGCCGGATCGAGGGGGCTAAACGGGCGTGGCACGGGCTAGAGAAGAGATGGAGTGATGTGGTACAGGAGGACGTGGAGCTGAGTGGACTTGCCGATGACTGGTACCAGCGGTGTCAAGATCGGCCTCAGTGGAGGAGGCTCGTGAAGGACGCTACTGGGCAGTTGGAGGCAGTCGCCCTCCAACAACAACGGAGGGCGGAGGAGCGACGCTCACAACAACGAGCGGAGCGCCGGGTGGCTAAAGCACAACAAGTTGGCACAGTTGGGGGCACAGGTGGTGCATCAGCCAGTCATCTCTGTCAGTCGACCCGTGGCACCTGGGTCTGCTCCGTGACCTCCTGCCAGCGGGCGTTCGACACTTCACGTGGCCTCAAGGTGCACGTGGCCTGGCACAAGCGTCGTGTTGACATCACCGCCACTTAGTGGCGAATGGCGGTTGCTGTTGTTGTAATGTGTGTGTGTCTGTGTGTAATGTCTACACACACACGCTCACCTCTCCCCCACTCTCCCCCTCCCAGGCCGAAGGACTTTGTCACCACCATGGCCACCACGGCCCTCCTGTCTGACGCTCCACGCCCTGCCCCTGCTCCTGCTGCTGCTGCCCCTGCTGCTGCTGCCCCTGCTGCTGCTGCCCCTGCTGCTGTCTCTGCTGCCCCTGCTGCCCCTGCTGCCGCCGCACCACCGCTTGGCTCCCTGCCGCGCCGCTGGTGGTCCGGCTTCATTGGCGCTCTCAGAGGCTGCTTCTTTACCAGCACCGCCACCGCCGCCACTGCCAACACCGCCGGAGGGGGGCGGCAGCGAGAGAGAGGAGGCTTCTCGGTGGGGGAGGGTGGGGGAGGTGGCGGTGTTGGTGGTGGTGATGGTGGCGGTGGCGGCGGTGGTGTTGGCGTTGGTGGTTGTGGTGTTGGCGGTGGCGGTGGTGGTGTTGTTGGCGGTGGTGGCGGTGGTGGCGGCAGTGGCGGTGCTGGTGTTGGCGGTGGTGGTTGTGGTGTTGGCGGTGGTGTTGGTGGTTGTGGTGTTGCCGTTGGTGGCGGTGATTGCCAGCAACCTGACAAGTTGGCGGTGGCGGTGGTGTGGGCGGCTGGGAAGCTGCGCTCAATATTCACGCTGCTCGTTGAGTGTGAGGAGGACGACCATGTGAGACCACGAGTGGGGCGCACGGGGGGACAAGGATATGTGTCTGTGTGTGTGTAGGTCGACTCAGCCTCAAATGTGTAAACATCGCTGCTAGGGCGACAAAGGGCGTGATGTTGGCCACCGACCCCCTCGTGTGCCGTGCCGGCCTTTACAGGTGCTACTCGCTCACAGCACTTGCTCCTACAGTCTGTTAAGGCTACACGGGGGATTTTTGTCTGTGAGGCAGTCGCCCTCCAACAACAACGGAGGGCGGAGGAGCGACGCTCACAACAACGAGCGGAGCGCCGGGTGGCTAAAGCACAGCAAGTTGGCACAGTAGGGGGCACAGGTGGTGCATCAGCCAGTCATCTCGGTCATCTCAGTTGACCCGTGGCACCTGGGTTTGCCCCTTGACCTCCTGCCAGTGGGCGTTTGACACTTCACGTGGCCTCAAGGTGCACATGGTCTGGCGAATGGCGGTTGTTTGTGCATCTCCTCACCTCCCCGTGCCCCTACAGGTGCTTGTGTCTGCATGCGAGATGTTGCAAGTCCTCAGCTCCAGCCATGCTGGTGCATTGGCATTTAGCAACAATGGAAGCCTCGCGGCCTTAGCCAGCCTGCTGGGACGCACTCACAACCCTCAAGCCCTGGAGAAGATCACCAGTAGCAACCCACCCACACTCACCACCCACACTCACCACCACCCACACTCACCACCCACACTCACCACCCACACTCACCACCACCCACACTCACCATCCACACTCACCACCACCCACACTCACTACCCACACTCACCACCACCCACACTCACCACCCACACTCACCACCCACACTCACCACCCACACTCACCATCCACACCACCCACACTCACCACCCACACTCACCACCCACGCTCACCACCCACGCTCACCACCCACGCTCACCACCCACGCTCACCACCCACGCTCACCACCCACGCTCACCACCCACGCTCACCACCCACGCTCACCACCCACGCTCACCACCCACGCTCACCACCCACGCTCACCACCCACGCTCACCACCCACGCTCACCACCCACGCTCACCACCCACGCTCACCACCCACGCTCACCACCCACGCTCACCATCCACACTCACCACCCACACTCACCATCCACGCTCACCACCCACACTCACCACCCACACTCACCATCCACGCTCACCACCCACGCTCACCACCCACCCTCGCCACCCACACTCACCACCCACGCTCACCACCCACGCTCACCACCCACGCTCACCACCCACGCTCGCCACCCACCCTCGCCACCCACACCACCCACGCTCACCACCCACCCTCGCCACCCACACTCACCACCCACACTCACCACCCACACTCACCACCACCCACACTCACCACCCACGCTCACCACCCACGCTCACCACCCACGCTCACCACCCACGCTCACCATCCACGTTCACCACCCACCCTCGCCACCCACACTCACCACCCACACTCACCACCCACGCTCACCACCCACGCTCACCATCCACACTCACCACCCACACTCACCACCCACACTCACCACCCACACTCACCACCCACGCTCACCACCCACCCTCGCCACCCCTACCCCAGGCACGCTGTGGAACCTGTCGCGCCACGAGTCTCTGAGGGCTGCGCTGGTGGAGCTTTGCCTCCCGGCGCTGGTGGAGCACGTGCTGGTGCCAGAGAGCGGCTGGAGGAGCAACTTTGGAGACTCGCCCGCCTCAACCTCCCCACCCGGCTCGTCCGCCTCGCCTTCCGCGGCGTTCTGCAACGCCTTGACGTGCCTACGGTAAGGGGCGGTGATTTCGTGGTGGACGCGACGGGGAACGCCGCGGTTGACGCGACGTCACGCGGTGGACGCGACGGGGAACGTCGGGGGTTCACGTCACGGCGGTGACATTGCAGGGAGTTGAGCTCGGCAGATCCGGACGGACGGCTGAGCACGTGGAAGGGCGAGGGGCTGGTGGACTGCGTGCTGCGCTTCGTCCGCTCGGCACTGAGAGGACGCAACATCGAGACCAAGGTGACCCCCACAGCGCGATGGGTAGCGGTGGTGTAGCGGTTAGCGCTACGCTGCTCTATGAACCCGGCGGCGGGTCCAAGTGTGTCGAGTCCAACTCGGTCGCAGACGTTGTCTTGGGAGCAACACTCTTCAGCGACACAACACAAGCTACACTTGGGTGTTGACCGCGTGACTAGAGGCTTCTTCAACCCGATGCGGATCTTCATCGCCAGCAACACGAAGAACCCCGAGCCCCTCACTCTTTGGTCTGCATCAGCAGCAGGCCACGCTTTCCCGCCCGTTGACAGACACTTGCGTGGCGTCCGAAACGTCGTGATTTAATTTAGTTTTAATTTTATTTTATTTTTCACCTACGTGACTTTACCGAAAACACCAAAGAGTATGAATCATCGCAGTCGCGAAAACTTCAGATCTACAACCCCTCGCCCCGCCCACCTTCTAGATCTCTCCGGCTCTTTCCCGAAGGCTCCCGAGGGCTCTTGTAGACCATGTGACCGCCCAGCGGCCCCCCGTCCACCGGTGGCCCCCTCCAATATCATCCGGTGACGTGTCGGCAGGTCAACCGGCGCATCGTGCCCCAACGTAACCCTGGCTGGCTGACGCTCCCTCTCGCTCCCTCGCCGGGAGCCCGCACCGCACGCCGTACGTGGTGCCTCCACGCTGACCAGCGCTCACCCAGGCCCCGCTAGGGCTGGCGGTACTACGCCCAGTGAGCGGGCTGCACGTAATGCCAACACATCATCCGCCGTGGCTTCGTAAGCCCGGCACCACACAGTGACAATCGCAGTCACTACACAAGCAAGAACATCTGCTGGACTACATAGTGACGGATCAGCGGATGCGGGCCCATGTCCTTGACACCAGGATCTACCGTGGAGCTGATCTGCCCTCTGACCATCGACTTGTCATCTGCAAGATGCGCCTGCCATTCTTCCACTCCGGTGGTGGGTGTACACCCAGGACCCCATTCCAACCTAAGGTGGCCTGGTCTCAGCTGATGAAAGTTGCAAGCGAGAATTTCATCATCGCTTGCGGCTGGGGTTGGCATTGTCCCCCACTCCTCATGTCGAGGGTAAATGGGCGAGGTTTAGGACTGTGGCTCATGCAGCTGCAATGGCTGCTTTGGGTACACGGTCCAGACCTCCCCAGAGACCCTGGCTGACAGAGGAGGTGTTTAGGCTGGCTGAAAAAAGGCGACAGGCCCACTCTCATCGGCTTCAGTATCCCACATCAGAGAATGAGGCGGTTTACCGCAGCCTTCGCTCGGAGGTTCGGAGAGCCGTGAGGCGCTGCAAGGATGGTTGGTGGCGTCAGGTTCCTGAAGAGATGGAGTCTGCCTCAATGGCCCGCGATCACAAATCGCTGTTTAATTCAATCAAAAAAGTGACCTGCAGCACCACACCTATTACCATCATTAAGGGAAAGAACGGTGATCCAATCTCCGACCCCTAGGAACAGGTTTGCAGATTTGCTGAGCATTTCTGTGAGGTCCTGGGAGAGGGGAACTCCCCCAGCCTGCAAAACATTGTGGGACAAAGAGAGGATAGCCCTGCTGAGGCTGCGGTGCCTCATTGTTTGAAGAGGAAGTCACCCCCTGTAAGTGGCTGGCTGAGCTGCCATCTAAGGAAGTACTCAAAGCGATCCAGAGCCTGAGACCAGGAAAGGCACCGGGCAGAGATGATCTCTCAAGAGAAATGCTGAGGGAGGGTGGCGTTTGTGCACAGACTGCCCTATATGACATCATAACAACAGTCTGGACTACTGGACGGTTCCGCAGGATTGGAAGGATGCCCTGGTAGTCCCCCTCTTGAAGAAGGGCGACCCTGCACAGACTAACAACTACAGGGGCATCTCACTCCTCAGTGTGCCGGGAAAGGTCCTGGCAAGGATTATTCAACATCGCCTTGCTAGGCACGCTGAGGAGAGGCTTGCGGAGCCCCAATGCAGTTTCAGGAAAGGACGGTCCTGCACAGATGCCATATTTTCTGTCCGTCTGCTACAGCAGAGGTGTAGGAAATTCCAACAAGACCTACATCTCTGCTTTATTGACCTGGTCAAGGCCTATGATATCATCAGTAGGCCTGGGCTCTGGGTTGTTCTTCGTGCTTTCGGAGTCCCTGACCCTTTGCTCACGATCATTAAGGACCTTCATGATGGTGAGCGGGCCCGGGTAAAACTACGTGGCCGGGGTGTGGACAGGGATGTCCTCTGGCTCCCGCATTATTTAACATCTATTTCGGCCGCGTAGTTTGTGAAGCCTTCAATAGCTGTACTGGTGATGATGATGGTGATGATGGTGATGATGATGGTGATATGCGTGTGTGTGTATCTGCGTGTGTGTGTATACCTGCGTGTGTGTGTGCATGTATGTATGCGTGCGTGTGTGTATGTATGTGCGTGTGTCTGCGTGTGTGTGTGCGTGTATGTATGCGTGCGTGTGTGTGTATGTATCTGCGTGTGTGTATGTGTGTGTGTATGTATGTGCATGTGTGTGTGTGCGTGTGTATGTATGTATGCGTGTGTGTGTATGTATGTGTGCGTGTGTGTATGTGTGTGTGTGTATGTACATGTGTGGGTATGTGTGTGTGTGTGTATGTGTGTATGTATGTATATATGTGTGTGTGTATGTGTGTGTGTGTATGTTCGTGTATGTGCGTGCGTGTGTGTGCGTGTGCGTGTGTATGTATGTGTGTGTATGTATGTGCGTGCGTGTATGTGCGTGTGTGTGTCTGCCTGGAGAGCGGTAGTGTAGCGGTTAGCGCGCTGCGCTATGAATCCGGCGACCCGGGTTCGATTCCTGCTCACGGCCAACACCAGTGACGATTATCTGAACCGGTCCCGGGCCTCCCCTAGGTCGACTCAGCCTCAAATGAGTACCTGGTGCGGTGTGTAAACATCACCACTGGGGAGACAAAGGCGGTCGGACGTGGTGCCACCCCCTCTTGCGCAACTAACAACACTCGCCCCTACGACCCGTCACGGCTACGCGGGGGAGCTTTGGTTGCGTCTGCCTCCGTATCCGCAGGCGGTGGAGGATGCAGTCTGTGTCCTGCACCAGCTGAGCGTCCACATGCTCCACAACGTGCCGCACTGCGGAGACTCAAGGCTGGGGGGGGGCAGCTGGGGGGGAGCTGCCAGCCACAGCTCCACCCTGAAGACAGGTGGACACTGTGACCCCCTCACTCCCCCCCTCACTCCCTCCCCCCTCACTCGCTCCCTCTCACTCCCTCCCCTCACTCCCTCCCCCCTCACTCCATCCCCCTCACTCCACCCCCTCACTCCATCCCCCTCACTCCATCCCCCTCACTCCATCCCCCTCACTCCATCCCCCTCACTCCACCCCCCTCACTCCCTCCCCTCACTCCCATCCCCCTCACTCCATCCCCCTCACTCCCCCCCTCATTCCTCCCCCCCTCACTACCCCTCCCTCCCCCCCTTCCCTGTGTGTATAGTGTAGTGTACAGTGTAGTGTATGGTATAGTGTATAGTGTAGTGTATAGTGTAGTGTATGTATAGTGTAGTGTATAGTGTAGTGTACAGTGTAGTGTATAGTGTAGTGTGTGATAGTGTAGTGTATAGTGCAGTGTGTGATAGTGTAGTGTATAGTGTAGTGTAGTGTATAATGTAGTGTATAGTGCAGTGTGTGATAGTGTAGTGTACGATGTGCGTGTGTATGTGTAGACACACCGTGTGTGTGTGTAGACACACCGTGTGTGTGTGTAGACACACCGTGTGTGTGTGTAGACACACCGTGTGTGTGGACACACCGTGTGTGTGGACACACCGTGTGTGTGGACACACCGTGTGTGTAGACACACCGTGTGTGTAGACACACCGTGTGTGTGTGTAGACACACCGTGTGTGTGTGTAGACACACCGTGTGTGTGTGTAGACACACCGTGTGTGTGTGTAGACACACCGTGTGTGTGTGTAGACACACCGTGTGTGTGTGTAGACACACCGTGTGTGTGTGTAGACACACCGTGTGTGTGTGTAGACACACCGTGTGTGTGTGTAGACACACCGTGTGTGTGTAGACACACCGTGTGTGTAGACACACCGTGTGTGTGTGTAGACACACCGTGTGTGTGTGTAGACACCCGTGTGTGTGTGTAGACACCCGTGTGTGTGTGTAGACACACCGTGTGTGTGTGTAGACACACGTGTGTGTGTGTAGACACCGTGTGTGTGTGTAGACACACCGTGTGTGTGTGTAGACACACCGTGTGTGTGTAGACACACCGTGTGTGTGTGTAGACACACCGTGTGTGTGTGTAGACACACCGTGTGTGTGTGTAGACACACCGTGTGTGTGTGTAGACACACCGTGTGTGTGTGTAGACACACCGTGTGTGTGTGTGTAGACACACCGTGTGTGTGTGTAGACACACCGTGTGTGTGTAGACACACCGTGTCTACACACACACCGTGTGTGTAGACAGACACACCGTGTGTGTGTGTGTAGACACCCGTGTGTGTGTGTAGACACACCGTGTGTGTGTGTAGACACCGTGTGTGTGTGTAGACACCGTGTGTGTGTAGACACACCGTGTGTGTGTAGACACACCGTGTGTGTGTAGACACACCGTGTGTGTGTGTAGACACCGTGTGTGTGTGTAGACACACCGTGTGTGTGTGTAGACACACCGTGTGTGTGTAGACACACCGTGTGTGTGTGTAGACACACCGTGTGTGTGTGTAGACACACCGTGTGTGTGTAGACACACCGTGTGTGTGTAGACACACCGTGTGTGTGTGTAGACACACCGTGTTTCTGTCCGCCTTGCTCCGCGCCGTAACGAGGCCTACGCCTGCAGGCTGGGAGCTGCTGTTCCAGGCCGACACAGTCAGCTGCTACGTGTCGCTGCTGCAGCAGTCGCACAACGTGCTCGTGCTGCAAGCGGCAACACGCTCCATCTACACGCTGGCCAGCGGAGACACCCAGGTGACGCTCCCTAGCAACGCTCCCTAGCAACGCTCCCCAGCACCGCTCTATAGCAACGTTCCCTAGCAACGCTCGCTAGCAACGCTCTATAGCAACGCTCGCTAGCACCGCTCTATAGCAACGCTCTCTAGCAACGCTCGCTAGCAACGCTCCCTAGCAACGCTCCCCAGCACCGCTCCATAGCAACGCTCTCTAGCAACGCTCCCTAGCAATGCTCTCTATCAACGCTCCCCAGCACCGCTCTATAGCAACGCTCCCTAGCAACGCTCGCTAGCAACGCTCGCTAGCACCGCTCTATAGCAATGCTCTCTATCAACGCTCTATTGCAATGCTCCCTAGCAACGCTCCCTAGCAACGCCCACTGTTTGACTGTCTGCGTGGTGGTGGTGTTGCGTTGCCGTGCGCCGTCGTGAGCAGTGGTCGGCGTTGTCCCGCACGGCCGTGGCTCACAACGGGGGGCTGCCCTGCCTCCTGGAGCAGCTGCGGAGCGGGAGGAGCAGGAGTAGTGACGACGACGAGCGCCGTCTGCTGGCGTACACCTCGGTGCACGCGCTGCGGGTCCTCGCTCGCAATGACCCCAACAACCAGCGCCTCATCGGTGAGATGCGGGGGGGTGGGAGGGAGGGAGGTGGTGGTGGTGGTGGTGGTGGTGATGGTGGTGATGGTGATAGTGGTGATGGTGATAGTGGTGATGGTGGTGATCGTGGTGGTGATAGTGGTGATGAAGTGGCGATGGAGGTGGCGATGAAGTGGCGATGGAGTCCGCTCACCACCGTCTCTGCGCGCTCCCCAGGGCTGCACAATGGCGTGAGGATCCTCACCGCGATGCTGCCTGACGCTGCCGAGGCAGGCAGCGGTGGCGGCGGTGGCGATGGTGGCGATGGTGGCGATGGTGGCGAGGCCTCGCGGCTGGGCGAGGAGGGGCTGTCGGCAGTGCTCTGGGCGCTGACGGCGCTGGTTTCCGGCAGCGTCGCCAACGCTCAGCGGCTGCATCGCGGCGGTGGCATCAGGCGCATCGTGGCCATCCGCACCAGCCGGTGAGCGGGGCGGGGGTCGGGGTACGATCCACGCTCAACCACGCACACTCACCACCCACGCTCACCACGCACGCTCACCACCCACACTCACCACGCACACTCACCACCCACGCTCACCACCCACACTCACCACGCACACTCACCACCCACGCTCACCACCCACGCTCACCACCCACACTCACCAGCCACACTCACCACGCACGCTCACCAGCCACACTCACCACGCACACTCACCACCCACACTCACCACGCTCACCACCCACACTCACCACGCACGCTCACCACCCACACTCACCACGCTCACCACCCACACTCACCACGCACACTCACCACCCACACTCACCATGCACACTCACCAACCACGCTCAACCACCCACGCTCACCACCCATACTCACCACCCACACTCACCACCCACGCTCACCACGCACACTCACCACCCACACTCACCACGCTCACCACCCACACTCACTATCCACACACTCCAAGCTCACCACTCACGCTCACCACCCACACTCACCACCCACCCCCACCACCCACACTCACCACCCACCCTCACTATCCACACTCACCACCACTTACCAGGCACCCTCACCACCCACACTCACCATCAACACTCACCACCCACCCTCACTATCCACACTCACCACGCTCGCCACTCTCACCACCCACACTCACCACGCACACTCACCACGCACACAAAGATCTTTGTCTTTGTGTCTGTGTGTATCTGTGTGTGTCTAGGTCGACTCAGCCTCCCACCCCCTCGTGTGCCGTTCCGGCCTTCACAGGTGCTCGCTAACAGCACTCGCCCCTACAGTCTGTTACAGGCTACACGGGGGATCTTTGTCTTTGTGCGTGTGTTGGTGCTGTGTCAGGACGGCGTGCAGCCAGGACCTCTTTGCAGCGAGGGCTTTGCTCACCGTCCTCTGGGCTCATCACGACCTCCGCGCCAGCTACAAGAAGTGTGGCGGCTGGGACAGGGAGCACTTCTTGTCACCGAGATGCCACGAGCAGCAGCAGCGGCGCCGGCAGCAACAGCAGCAGCGCGTGCACTCGCTGTGGCACCAGTGGCAGCTGTGCCAGCAGTGGCAGCTGTGGCAGCAGTGGCGCCAGTCGCAGCTGTAGTAGCAGAAGCAGCAGTAGCAGAAGCAGTAGTAGTAGTAGGGGTAGTGGCGGTAGTAGCAGTCCGCTCGGCGGACGCTGGCGTTCTCCTCTTGAATCTTGACTTGAAGCTTTCGTGCCTTGCAGGGATTTATGGGTCTGTCGGTCAGGTGGCGTGGGTAGGTTCAAGAAAATAACAAAAAACTACGACGTTTCGATCGCAACACAAGCGGTCGTCATCAGTGTTGCGATGGAAACGTCGTGTGTTTTTGTTATTTGCTTTGAACCTACACACGTGATGTTACCGACAGACCCCAAAGAATATGCTCTTCTTAACTTCGCTTGTTGATGTTGATGAAGATGTCGATGGTGCTGTTGTTGATTTTGTCGTTGATGTTTATGATGTTATTGATTTTGATGATGTTGTTGAGGATGTTGATGTCGTTCGACCGGTGGCTATGGGAACAATCCCCCTAGGGGAGGCTAATTGACCCGACCCAGCCAAGGTGCGGGTCTGGACTCTGGCTTCCTCGGAACTCGCCCTCACAAGGACGTAGAGCCGGGAGTCCCAGAGTCCCACCACTGGCCCTCACAGCGTCCCGGCCCTTACAAGGACAAGCGGGACAAGGGGGTCCAGGGTCCTAAGCTGGCTGGCTGGCAGGTCTTGACCTGCGACTGGCCCTGATCGGCCAGGGAGCTGCCCTTTTATGCCTCGTGCCCAACGAGGGTTGGGGTTGTGTGCACCCCCAGGTATCCCACAGAGCACACACAGCCCCCCTGTTGGTGGCACCAAGGGGCTTAAGCATCTGGGGTGCCTGGGATCCTAGCGCCTGGCGCCAAGGGGCTTCTCTGCCTAGGGTCCCAGAGCCCCCAGCAGCCCCTCCCCTCTTGGGCTGGCACAGTAGCCCCTCTCATGGCACTGCACCTGTAGTATAAATGGGCTGTTCTATGGCGACAGTGGGTGTACTATACACAAAGGCTCACTAGAGGGCACATTCCAGATGTGACGGAGCACGTGGCCCAGAAGGGGATGGCCACGTGATGTGGACCCAGAGTGTGACTGACGGGGGGGAGGGGGGGGGGTGCGGAGTCCCCCCGTGGTTCTTCAACCGCGGGAAAGAAGTCGTCCACTTCCATCTTCGCTTTTCAGCCTCCGTACGCGTCGCCTGTTCCCGTCCCACCGTAGCGAAGGGGTTCCGCTCAAGCGGCGAGGTGGTTAGGGCCGGCGGCCACCACCTTACGTGGTTAGCCCGCGATGAGCGCAGTCGCTCGCAATGTGCTTGGTTCACCTGGGAACGTTGAATAGTGTTGGTTGTGTGAGAGATTAAAACTTGCTGCCTCCCAGTCTTGGCGTGCCCCTGATGAGAACCGACTGCATGTGCGTTGATGTGTGGTAATGGGATGTTGTGGGCGGATGTTTTTTTTATCTGTACAAGGGAGATCGTTTAAACGCAGTTTTTTGTGTACATCTGGTGCATAATGGTTGAATGATAGCTTTCAAACACTACGCAAAATTCATGCAGAACTGCTGTGATCCGCTGTGACACGGGGGAACACCAATATAGCTGCTGATCTTATTATCTGTGGGGCCATCTGCAAATCTTTACCTTCCAGCTAAAAGGAGCAAAATGACAGATAACCTCGCCAATAAGAGGATGAGAATACCGCGTGACTCTTCTTATCCGCGAGATATCTAAACGTGATTTCCCAATTTTATTTTATACTTTTCAGAAAAACAATATATACAACACCGTGTCACCTGATGTTCAGATTTGGCCACAGCTGTTCACAAACCGCATAGCCAAAATCTTAAATGCCGTTTGTTTCGTCAATATAAATGGGAGCCGGCTGTTATGGTATAATAACGACGTGCGCCCGCTAAACTCAGGCCCTCCGATCCACCGATGGAGTGAGGAAATTTAACGAAAAAATGAAAACAGAAACTCACGCAAATTAAGAAGTTAGCTAAAGAAACAAAAAAATGTGGGTTTCTGTAAATCAAACATCCCCCCGACTCGTGCATTTATACGTTGGCCCAATACGAAAGCCACGATGCCACAAAAAACGCATTTTAATGAGATTGAACTCTCAATCAGAGGTCGCAACCGGGTACCCGATTGCCGTACCCTACCCGATACCCGGCTACCCGTACCCGGCCGGGTACGGGTAGCCGTTTGCGACCCTGGTGCGGCCGGGTACGGGTAGGCCGTGAGTCACTGGTGAGTCACCGTTTGTCACTCATTTACCAACGACTCGTCTCTTCTCACAATTCAAGTTCCTATAATCAACCCACCCGCGCCTGCAACATGGCTTCATCCCAGAGGTCGCAATCGGGTACCCGTACCCTACCCGATACCCGGCCGGGTACAGGTATCGGGTAAGGAATCAAACCCCGTTTGCGACCTCTGCTCTCAGTACTCTGGGGTTACAAACCCAGCAGAGCTGAATCCCCCGAGCTACGAGGCTGAGTGCCGACGTGCCCCCCACACCGTCGCGTGCGCCGCGTGAGCGGGGTGCCCGCGCTCCGCCGCTCGGATCTTCACAAAGAGCACAGAGGGTCGCCGCGAGGGTGACACTCGCTCGCGCTAAACCCAAGCCGTGCGGCCGGTGCCGCCGCCGGCGCTCTGCCCGGGGGGCTCCTGGCGGGGCCTCGGCGTCGCCCTCAGCTCCGTCTGAAGTTCCCGCAACTCGTCACGGAGCTGACGCAATTCCCGCGGCGACATCATCGCTGCTGCTGCTGCGGGAACTGCCGTGGGGGGGTCCGGCTCGCCGGGATCTGCCACCCTAGAAACGAGTCGAATTTCAAGAGGAGTGTTTTCATTAACAACAATAAATATACACTCTCCATGATAGAGGATTTGTATGGGTTATATTGCGTGTATAATGTATAGTGCAATGTATAGTGTAGTGTGTAGTGTAGTAGTGTATAGTGTATAGTGTGTCGTGTATAGTGTGTCGTGTATAGTGTAGTGTAGTGTATAGTGTGTAGTGTATAGTGTGTCGTGTATAGTGTGTCGTGTATAGTGTAGTGTAGTGTATAGTGTGTAGTGTAGTGTATAGTGTAGTAGTGTATAGTGTATAATGTAGTAGTGTGTAGTGTATAGTGTAGTGTATAGTGTAGTAGTGTATAGTGTAGTAGTGTATAGTGTGTAGTGTATAGTGGATAATGCGATCTAAACCCAAAAACCTTGATTATGAATAATAATAGTCAACGTCGTAATGTATGAGGAGCGGTGTGAGCGCTCCTCGCGAAACTCACCCGGTGCCGTTCCCGTCAGAGGAGGCCCCCGCCAGCGAGTGGTAACCCGGGGGCGCCAGCGACACTCGGCGACTGCCCTGGGCCACTGCCACCTTCACCCTGGAAGCCTCCAGCGTCGCGTGGGCCGCCTGTTTGCCCTCCGCGGATCTACATCACACACACACACGTCTATATACATTGCTGTGAACACATCACACTACACTATACACTACACTATAAACTATACACAACATCTATATACATAGTTGGCAACACATACACTACATGATACACTATAAACTATACACAACATCTATATACATAGCGGTTGGGAAGCTGACGGAACCACTCTCATAGCTGTAAACAAATACACTACACTATACACTACACACTACACTATCACATACCTGGCAACACTATACACGACACTGCTACACACCTGGCAACACTATACAACAACAACCGCCATTTGCCACTAAGTGGCGGTGACATCACCACGATGCTTGTGCCAGGCCATGTGCACCTTGAGATCACGAGAAGTGTCGAACGCCCGCTGGCAGGAGGTCACGGGGCAGACCCAGCAGGTGCCACGGGTCGACTGACTGAGATGACCGAGATGACTGGCTGATGCACCACCTGTGCCCCCTACTGTGCCAACTTGCTGTGCTTTAGCCACCCGGCGCTCCGCTCGTTGTTATGAGCGTCGCTCCTCCGCCCTCCGTTGTTGTTGGAGGGCGACTACCTCCAACTGCCCAGTAGCGTCCTTCACGAGCCTCCTCCACTGAGGCCGATCTTGACACCGCTGGTACCAGTCATCGGCAAGTCCACTCAGCTCCACGTCCTCCTGTACCACATCACTCCATCTCTTCTCTAGCCCATGTCGCGCCCATTTAGTCCCCTCGATCCGGCTGAACAAAAGCTGTTTCGGCATGCAGTGGCTGGGCATGCGGGCTATATGACCAAGCCAATGCAGCCTTACCTGCCGGAGGAGCTCACCGATGGGACTTTGCCCAAGGATTTGTGAGCTCCTCACACAATCCAGCCTGGTTAAACCCAGGATGAATCCTAGGCAGGCCAGCCTAAATGTTTCTAACTGGCAAAGATGCTCCATTAGGGGGGTCCACGTTTCGCAAGCGTAGAGAAGGGAGGGAATGACCGTGGCCGAGAAGAACTGAAGCTTCGTGCGGAGCAACAGACCAGGTAGCTTCCACACAGCGTTAAGGAAACCGATGAAAAGATATTGCCGCTCGACTGATTCGGAGTGAGACCTCTGCTGATAAACTGGAGCCGGTCATAAGCACACTGCCCAGGTATGGGAAGCTCTCCACTCTCCACAACTGCCCCATCACCGATTGGGAGTTGTGGGGGTGGAGTGTCTGATGGTACAAAATACCCAGGCAGGTGCTTAGTTTTGGTGGGGCTGATGGTAAGGACCCACCTCTTAGATGCACACTCCAGTCTCAGCAGCAGCATCTCTAACTCCTCCTCTGAATGAGCAGCTATTACCAAATGATCAGCATATATAACGTGGTTGACCAATAGGGAGCCATCCCTTGATCGCACCCGGGCATCGATCAGCCTCCCATTATATCTGTACGAGATGGAAATTCCCCCGGTACAGCTGCTGAAGACTTCACGAACCACGTGGTCAAAATTGATGTTAAATAATGTGGGGGCCAGAGGACATCCATGTGGCAACCCAAGGTGTACAGGGAATGGCTCTGACTCCCGGCCATGTAGTTTTACCTGGGCCCGCTCACCATTATGAAGGTCCTTAATGATCGTGAGCAGAGGGTCAGGGACTCCGAAAGCATGAAGAAGAACCCAGAGCACAGGCCTACTGATGGTATCATAGGCCTTGACCAGTTCAATAAAGCAGAGATGTAGGTCTTGTTAGAATTCCCTACTCCTCTGCTGTAGCAGACGGACAGAAAATATGGCATCTGTGCAGGACCGCCCTTTCCTGAAACCGCATTGGGGCTCCGCAAGCCTCTCCTCAGCGTGCCTGGCAAGGCGATGTTGAATAATCCTTGCCAGGACCTTTCCAGGCACACTGAGGAGTGAGATGCCCCTGTAGTTGTTACAATCTGTGCGGTCCCCCTTCTTAAAGAGGGGGACCACCAGGGCATCCTTCCAATCCTGCGGAACCCGTCCAGTGGTCCAGACTGTTGTTGTTATGATGTCATATAAGGCAGTCTGTGCACAAACGCCACCCTCCCTCAGCATTTCGGTTGGGAGATCATCTCTGCCCGGTGCCTTTTCTGGTCTCAGACTCCGGATCACCTTCAGTACTTCCTCAACAGCTGGCACCTCAGCCAGCCACTCACAGGGGGTGACTTCTTCCAATATTTGAGGCACCGCAGCCTCAGCAGGGTCATCCCCACTTTGTGTCATGATGTTTTCCTGGCTGAGGGATTTTCCCTCCCCAGGACCTTACATAAATGCTCAGCAAATCTGCAAACCTGTTCCTGGGGGTCGGAGATTGGATCACCGTTTTTTCCCCTTATGGTAATCAGTGTGGCGCTGCAGGTTAATTTTTTTGTTGGAGTTAAATAGTGATTTGTGATCGCGGGCCACTGAGGCAGACTCCATCTCCTCAGCAACCCGTGACCACCACCCATCCTTGCAGCGCCTTATGGCTCTCCGAACCTCCGAGCGAAGGCTGTGGTAAGCCTCCTCATTCTCTGATGTGGGATGCTGTAGCCGATGAGAGTGGGCCTGTCGATTTTTCTCAACTATCCTGAACACCTCCTCTGTCAGCCAGGGTCTCTGGGGAGGTCTTGACCGCGTACCCAAAGCAGCCATTGCAGCTGCATGAGTCACAGTCCTAAATTTTGCCCATTTACCCTCGACATCAGAAAGAGTGGGGGACGATGCCAACTTTCATCAGCTAACTGAGACCAGGCCACTTTAGGTTGGAATGGGGTCCTGGGTGTGCACCCAACCACCAGAGTGGAAGAATGGCAGGCGCATCTTACAGATGACTAGTCGATAGTCAGAGGACAGATCAGCTCCACGGTAGGTCCTGGTGTCAAGGACATGGGCTCGCATCCGCTGGTCCGTCACTATGTAGTCCAGCGGATGTTCTTGCTTGGGCCCGGCATGCATCCATGATGTTGTGTGGATGCGCCGATGCCGGAAGAGCGTGTTGGTAATTACAAGCCCATGGGCTGCACAAAAATCTAGCAGCCTCCTACCAGTGTTATTGAGCTGATCTGACCCATGCCCTCCAATCACTCCAGACCAGGTGCCAGTATCATGACCAACTCGGGCATTCAAGTCACCCAACAAGATGACTCTATCCCGAGTGGCCACTTTAGCCAGCACCTGTGACAGGAGGTCATAGAAGGCATCTGGCTCAGCGGCTTTGCCTGCATCCCTCCACGGATGTTCGTCGTCGGTGGGGGCATAGGTAACCACGACCACCACGGTTGATGGGAAAGCGAGCCCAATGTAGCCTAGGGCTTACAGCTTCCCACTCTTCACCGTCCCGCTCCCACGCCCCTTTCATTCTTTTGTTCAGAAGAAGAGCCACACCCTGTTGTTTGGCAGTCTCCCGCCCCGAATAGAGGACTGTCCACCCCTCATGGTGGCAGGAGCCAGAACCGGTCCACCGGACCTCCTGAATGCCACAGAGATCCAGGCGGTACCGGTCCAGCTCCCGACAGAGGAGTGGCAGCCTCTCCTCCGCAGTGAGCGTTCGAACATTCTACGTAGCCACACGAAGTGGTTTTTCGTTGTTTCTGGAGGAACCCCGAGGGTAAAGATTCAATCTCCTGGCTCCGCCAATTGGGGTTTGGCCAGGAGACGTCATAGACGCCTGTCCCCCCGGGGCCTCCGGCACAAGCTTATTAGTTACATATTTAATTTGTGGTGCGCCCCCCCTCCCTCCGCGTAGCCGACCGTGGCCAACCGCTTAGCTGGCGAGGCCCCCCACCTGCTCTGCAGCCAGCGCCTCCCGCTCAGCGAGTCGTGGAGGGCTCCCAGCCCCAAGTAGCAAATCTCGGTCAGTTCCAGCAGGAGGCTGAGACAGGCGACCGTGTACATGACCAAAAGGAAGATGGTCTTCTCCGTGGGGCGCGACACGAAGCAGTCGACACGATGTGGGCAGGGGTCGCGGACGCACTGAAAGCGTGGGGCCACCTCAAAGCCGTAGAGCAGGTATTGCCCCAGCAGGAAGCCAATCTCAGCCAGCGTGCGGGCGAGTAGCTGGAGGGTGTAGGCTACCATCAGGCCGTCAGTCTTGATCCTCCACCGCTCGTTGCCTTGCCGTCGCTTCTCCTTGCCGTCTTCTTCATCCTCCTCCACCTCCTTTTCCACCTCCTCTTCCACCTCCTCCTCATTCTCCGTGCATTCAACCATGCGGTCGGAGCCGCCGGTTCGCTTTGTTCGTTCGTCTCGCTCGTACTCGATCCTACCACGACAGAGAGCGGCGTCAAGGGGACCAAATCGACGGTGCAACCAAATACAAAACATTTTTAAAACAATTTCAAACTGTGAGAAGCCATTCAAATTTCCACCGTAGCCCCCCCCCCCCCCCCCCCCCCCCACTGTGAAAACTCCTTCCGGGGACCTGCGGACCTGGTGATGCGATGTACAGCGAATCCGAGGTACAGGATGGTGGGCGTGGCAACGACGATGATCTGGAACACCCAAAAGCGGACATGGGAGAGCGGTGCGAAGCTGTCATAACAGACGTTCTCGCAGCCGGGCTGCGCCGTGTTGCACGTGAACTGGCCCTGCTCATCGTAGTAGATCGACTCTCCGGCGACCGTCGTGAGAACGATGCGGAAGATGAGGAAGGTGGTGATCCACAGCTTGCTCAGGAATGTGGAGTGTCGGTGAACCTCATCCAGCAGCTGCGTCAGGTAGCCCCAGCTCATCGTGATCGCCGGTCAGAAGCAGCGACGCCGCTGCGGGGAAACATTCACCCGAGTTTGTACGGGCACTACTGTACTTATACACATTCAACTTCAGGACTTTTAGAGATAATTAAAAGACCTGTCCCATTTGTCCAGTTGCCCGTTTGGAACAAGTCGTAAGTTCAACCTCCACGCACAATAGATGACAGTGGTGGCATCTACATCTATAGAACGTGAAGAACCAGTGGCATCTACATCTATAGAACGTGAAGAACCAGTGGCATCTACATCTACAGAACGTGAAGAACCAGTGGCATCTACATCTATAGAACGTGAAGAACCAGTGGCATCTACATCTACAGAACGTGAAGAACCAGTGGCATCTACATCTATAGAACGTGAAGAACCAGTGGCATCTACATCTATAGAACGTGAAGAACCAGTGGCATCTACATCTATAGAACGTGAAGAACCAGTGGCATCTACATCTACAGAACGTGAAGAACCAGTGGCATCTACATCTACAGAACGTGAAGAACCAGTGGCATCTACATCTACAGAACGTGAAGAACCAGTGGCATCTACATCTACAGAACGTGAAGAACCAGTGGCATCTACATCTACAGAACGTGAAGAACCAGTGGCATATACATCTGCAGAACGTGAAGAACCAATGGCATCTACATCTACAGAACGTGAAGAACCAGTGGCATATACATCTGCAGAACGTGAAGAACCAGTTGCATCTACATCTACAGAACGTGAAGAACCAGTGGCATCTACATCTACAGAACGTGAAGAACCAATGACATCTACATCTACAGAACGTGAAGAACCAGTGGCATCTACATCTACAGAACGTGAAGAACCAGTTGCATCTACATCTACAGAACGTGAAGAACCAGTGGCATCTACGTCTACATGAGATTATACGACTTTTAAGGCTATTCTCTGTGTGTGGTGTACATGCCGTAGACCACGTTTGGATCGACAGGAGTCAAGTTGGACTTACACACAGAACCTCTGGAACCTAACTCGTTCGTAAGTCGAAGAGTCCCTGTACCAGAGTGAGCTCGCTTTCTCCCTCGCTATAAATGTTCCGCATAAGCCACGACTTGGTGTGTGGCTCTACCAGGGGTGGTGGCAAGCAGGTCGCTTCTGCAAAGAGCTACACAGCAGCCCAGTGAGGGGCTGACACCTTGGTAACGTAAGTTGAGTTCGCTCAGCGTTGTGTCCACACGCTCACAACAACAACAGCCATTCGGCAGTCAACCCAAGGCACCTACCATGGGTTGGCTGACAGATGGCTGGCCGATGCAACAACTGTGCCCCCTACTGTGAATACTCGCTGCACTTTAAACGCCCGGCGCTCCGCTCGTTGTTGTGAGCGTCGCTCCTCTGCCCTCCGTTGTTGCTGGAGGGCGACTGCCTCCAACTGATTCTAGATTTGAAGCTTTCGTGACTGCAAGGATTCATACTCTTAGGTTATTTCGGTAAAATCACGTAGGTAAAAATATTAATCAAATATTTAAAAAATTGAAATAAAATAATAAATCACGACTTTTAGGAGGCAACACAAGTTTCCGTCATCAGATGGGACCGTCACAGCTAAATTTACTGTATCAAGTGAGGAAAAATCCAAGAAACAAGCTCTTAAATACAAGTTAAGGGGGAGGGGGGGGCTTATCTGAATGTGGTAGCCAGGAGGGAATGGCACGGTGGGGGGGGGGGGGCTACAATAGAACAATTGGTGCACGTTGACTCGGGGTTGCGGCCGGTGTTGGCTGACAATCCAAATACAAAAAAATGTACCCGTAAAAACAAAGTTTTTCACTATAAATCTTTATATGCGTGGCATTGGGGCGGCTAGAGTCCTCTCGTCCTCTGGCTTGAGATGGCTGCCACCTATGGGTCAGATGATTGTCTGGCAGCATTAAATAATTTGTAATTAAATATTTTAAACAATTTCCCGAAACAGTGTAAAATTTTGGAATTTTTTTTCTCACGAAAATGCATTGTCACGCACAACGAGCCTGTGTGCAAAATGTCAGCTCGATTGGATCACGGGAAGTGGGTTAAAAAACGACCGAAAGATTTGCACGGTCCTAAGCAAGCAAGCGAACTTAATATAAAGGATTTAAAAAGGCAGTACTGTTAAACGCGGGGGATGTCAACACTCGGAAAGTAGAATAGTACCTGTCAAATAAGATGGTACAAATATGTGTAGTTAAATATTTTACCGTGATGATGAGTACAAACTGAGTAATCATTGGAAAGATGTTATTAACCATGTAAAAACAGTCACTCACCCACCCACTCACTGTCACTCACCAACCAACTCAGCCACTCATCCCCTCACTCACTCACTCACCCACCCACCCACTCACCCACCCACTCACCCACCAACTCACCCACCCACTCACCCACTCACCCACCAACTCATCCACTCACTCACCCACCCACTCACCCACCCAATCACTCAGTCACTCTCCCATCCACTCAGTCACTCACCCACCAGTCACTCACCCACCAGTCACTCACCCACGAACTCACCCACCCACAACCCACTCACCCACTTCCGACTCACCCACCCACCCACTCACTCGGCCACTCACCCACCCACTCATTCACTCACCCACCCACCCACTCAGTCACCCTACATTATAGACTGTATCTGTGTGTACAGTCTACATTATAGACTGTATATGTATGTACACAGTCTACATAATAGACTGTATCTCTGTGTAGACTACAGTCTACATTATAGACTGTATATGTGTAGACTGTATCTGTGTATAATCTACATTTAGACTGTATATGTATGTACACAGTCTACATAATAGACTGTATCTCTGTGTACACAGTCTACATTATAGACTGTATCTGTGTACACATTCTACATTATAGACTGTATCTCTGTGTACACATTCTACATTATAGACTGTATCTGTGTACACAGTCTACATTATAAAAAACTCTAACCTACCTGTTAGAGTTTCGAACAGACAACAGCAGCAAGGGGAGACAAAGACGGCAGCGGCTGCGTGGGAGACAGAGCGCAGAGAGAGAGAGGAGGGGGAGGAGGAGGGGGGTGGTGGGGTCAGACCTCTGTAGGAGCGCACGAGACGTCCCTGACGATCCGCTGTGAGAGGCCGCAGCGAGTGCAGAGACTTGAGCAGCAGCAGCACCTGGCAAAGACGCCGCCTGTGCGCCCCTCCCCCCTCACCCCTCGCCTCGTCTCCATTCACCTGCAGCCCCCCCCCGCCCCCCCTTCCTCGCCCTCCCCCCTCCGGCCCCTCCCCTCCCTCATGCCCCCCCCCCTCACTTCCGGCTCATCATCCCCCCCCCTCACTTCCGGCTCATCCCCCCCCCCTCACTTCCGGCTCATCATCCCCCCCCCTCACTTCCGGCTCATCATCCCCCCCCCTCACTTCCGGCTCATCATCCCCCCCCCCTCACTTCCGGCTCATCATCCCCCCCCCCTCACTTCCGGCTCATCATCCCCCCCCCTCACTTCCGGCTCATCATCCCCCCCCCCTCACTTCCGGCTCATCATCCCCCCCCTCACTTCCGGCTCATCATCCCCCCCCCCCTCACTTCCGGCTCATCATCCCCCCCCCCTCCTGTTGGGGGCGGGGGTTCGCGTTGCACGGGGGGGGGGGGGGCTTCCCCCTCGGTCCACAAAGTCAGTCTGTCAATTAACTCCTCCACTTACGAACACCCCGACTTACAAACGCGCTTCAATGTAAATTCATGTTATTTATATTGACAACAAGTATAACCCGTAAAAACTAAGTTCTTCACTATAAATCCTTTATATGCGTGGCGGCTAGAGTCCTCTCGTCCTCTGGCTTGAGATGGCTGCCACCTATGGGTCAGATTGTCTGCAGTATTAAGCAATTGGTAATTAAATATTGAATTTGTTTTCCCTAAACAGTGTAAAAAACGAACATTAATTGTCTCGCACAACGAGTCTGTGTGCAAAATGTCAGCTCGATTGGATCACGGGAAGTGGGTTAAAAAACGACCGAAAGATTTGCACGGTCCTAAGCAAGCAAGCAAGTGAATTCTTTGGTTCTTTCGGTTAAGTCACGTCTAAAGATAAAATAATAAATTAAAATAAAAGCATATTACGACGTTTCGATTGCAACACAAGCAATCATCATCAGGCAAAAAAAGAAATAGCAACAAAAATCTAACTAGAAAACTGTAGACAGACACACGAGCAGTTTTCTAGTTAGATTTTTGTTGCTATTTCTTTTATACCTGATGATGATTGCTTGTGTTGCAATCGAAACGTCGTAATATGCTTTTATTTTAATTTATTATTTTATCTTTAGACGTGACTTAACCGAAAGAACCAAAGAATAATTCCTGCAGTCACGAAAGCTCCATAATTAAGATTCAAGCAAGTGAACTTAATATAAAGGATTTAAAAACACTCAAACTATTGTCCGTTTATTACACGCTTTTATTATTTAACAAACTCCGTCTGTTGTTGAATCCTCAGAGCAGCCGCGCCGAGGGGCGGGGGGGGGGCAGGAGGGGGAGGGGCGATGGGGGAAGGGGGGGGGCACGGGGGGGGGGGCGGGGGGGGGCAGGAGGGGGAGGGGCGATGGGGGAAGGGGGGGGGCACGGGGGGGGGGCGGGGGGGGGCAGGAGGGGGAGGGGCGATGGGGGAAGGGGGGGGGCACGGGGGGGGAGGGGGGGGGGCACGGGGAGGGGCGGGGGAAGGCAGGAGGGGGAGGGCGATGGGGGAAGGGGGGGGGCACGGGGAGGGGCGGGGGGGGGGCAGGAGGGGGAGGGGCGATGGGGGAAGGGGGGGGGCACGGGGGGGGAGGGGGGGGGGCACGGGGAGGGGCGGGGGAAGGCAGGAGGGGGAGGGGCGATGGGGGAAGGGGGGGGGCACGGGGAGGGGCGGGGGGGGGCAGGAGGGGGAGGGGCGATGGGGGAAGGGGGGGGGCACGGGGGGGGGGGCGGGGGGGGGGCAGGAGGGGGAGGGGCGATGGGGGAAGGGGGGGGGCACGGGGGGGGGCGGGGGGGGGCAGGAGGGGAGGGGCGATGGGGGAAGGGGGGGGGCACGGGGGGGGCAGGAGGGGGAGGGGCGATGGGGGAAGGGGGGGGGCACGGGGGGGGGGGCATCTGGGACAGTAACATTTAATTAAAGCGTGGGGGGGGGGGGTTTGATTTAAAGTTTTCGTGACTGCAGGGATTCATCTTCTTGGTTCTTTCGGTAAAGTCATCACGTACAAGGGAAATAATAAAAGAATAAAAATAAAACTTTACATTATAGTAATAAAATAAAAATAGAAAAAATAATTAAATAATAATAAAATACTTTTTTATTGTTGTCTTTTTATAATTTTTTTATTTCCCTTCTACGCGACTTCACCGAAAGAGCCAAGAAGATGAAAGCGTGGGGGGGGGGGGGTTTAATATTTCAAAAAAAAAAATTGTTCACCCGGAAGCTGCACGCCAAGTGAACTTTGCCCCGGGAGGATCAGCAGGAGGAACACGTGGACACGAGTTCACACCCAGCGCGACCACACACACGCACACCGCCACCTCGACCACGATGTCCACCCCTAGGAGGCTCACGTCCACCTTCTCCTGCCTCTCCCTGGCCACCCTGGTCGGCTTGGCCTCGGTACACGGCCAAGGAACCCCACCGTCACTTGCACCCTTAGAGCAGTCCCAGGGGACAGACGCCCAGACCATCGCCGTGACCAGTCCAGCGATGGCCTCGTCCTCTCCTCCTCCTCCTCCGTCTTCCTCCTCCTCCTCCTTCTCGGCGTCCCCACCGGGACCCAGAGCTGGCGGGAGGCCGCCCCCGTGCCTGGCGCAGAGCGGCGTGGGCCGCGTCTTCAAACGCGGCCGTGGCGAGCGTCGTCTTCCTCGTGGGGAGCGTCGGCAACTCGGCGCTGCTGCTCGTCGTCTACAGGAACAAGTCGATGATGCGCGACGGGACCAGCGTCCTCATCGCCAGCCTTGCTCTCGGAGACCTCTTCTACATCGTCGTAGACATGCCCGTCAACGTGTACAAGGTGAGGAGGGGGAGGGGGGAGGACGCGCGCACGTGGTGCGGTATCAATAACAACTCGAGTTCTTAGTCACGTGCTGCTACCACGTGATGATTATGCAATTCGTGACAATATTGTCGGGTGTGAGAGGGGGGGTGACGGCAATAATTTTGGCATTGAAGCCACCACGGGTTGCCTTACCCCAAACAAACAAGAATGTGGATCGTTGTTTTTAATGAATATTGATACAACTCTCATTCACAGTCCTCTGTCAACCCACTGTGAGAAGGTGTTGCCTGGATGAGGGCCCTCCCCATAGCGCGTCAGCCACGCGGCCTGCTTGACCACGCCTCGCCGTGCTGGCCAGGGACAGGTTGGGGCAGGACCAGTTCAGATGTCACTTGTCACTGATGTTGACCATCGCTGGGAATTGAACTCAACTCGCCGGTTCAATATTACTGTGCGGTAACCACTGCCGCCACTACTACCACTCCACCACGCACCTCGTGTGTGACTTGATAAGTAGCAAGCTTTAAAGCGTTGAATTATATAGACTGCTTCAACATTTCGTTTGCTTCCATATGGGTGATAAACAGATGGACAGAAAATCAGCAACAATTCCCTCTGATGTATCCAGAAAAGCCCCGAGGAGTTGCAAGACTCTGTAGAACGAGCATCCTGCTTGAGGATGTTTGGCCAATATGTGTAGCTTCTGCACGTGATGGATTCCAGAGACCACTTTGTGGACTGCCCATCTCCAGGGCGCCTCGCAGCCCCAGTGGGTTGGGAGTTTGACAAATCTCTGCGTGACCCACCAACCCTTGCCTCCAGAGCACTGCCCCACAGGCGAGCACCAGCGTGCCCCCCCCCCCCCCCCAGCTACAGCATGCGACGGATGTACAACCATCGTAGAGGTCGCGTGTTTTATATTTGCGCGATCTAATCCCAAAAACAATCCCCTTATGGATAATATTGGTCGCCAACGTCTACGTGTTGTGTGCTGTGTGTGTGTACCTGTGTGTGTGTGTGTACCTGTGTGTGTGGTGTGTGTACCTGTGTGTGTGTACCTGTGTGTGTGTGTACCTGTGTGTGTGTGTGTACCTGTGTGTGTGTACCTGTGTGTGTGTACCTGTGTGTGTGTGTACCTGTGTGTGTGTGTACGTGTGTGTGTGCACCTGTGTGTGTGTACCTGTGTGTGTGTGTGTACCTGTGTGTGTGTGTACCTGTGTGTGTGTACCTGTGTGTGTGTGTACCTGTGTGTGTGTACCTGTGTGTGTGTACCTGTGTGTGTGTGTACCTGTGTGTGTGTACCTGTGTGTGTGTACCTGTGTGTGTGTGTGTACCTGTGTGTGTACCTGTGTGTGTGTGTGTACCTGTGTGTGTGTACCTGTGTGTGTGTGTACCTGTGTGTGTGTGTGTACCTGTGTGTGTACCTGTGTGTGTGTGTACGTGTGTGTGTGTGTGTGTGTGCACCTGTGTGTGTGTACCTGTGTGTGTGTGTGTACCTGTGTGTGTGTGTACCTGTGGTGTGTACCTGTGTTGTGTGTGTGTACCTGTGTGTGTGTACCTGTGTGTGTACCTGTGTGTGTGTGTACCTGTGTGTGTGTACCTGTGTGTGTACCTGTGTGTGTGTACATGTGTGTGTGTACCTGTGTGTGTGTGTGTACCTGTGTGTGTGTGTACCTGTGTGTGTGTGTACCTGTGTGTGTGTGTACCTGTGTGTGTGTACCTGTGTGTGTGTACCTGTGTGTGTGTGTGTACCTGTGTGTGTGTACCTGTGTGTGTACCTGTGTGTGTGTGTACGTGTGTGTGTGTGTGTGCACCTGTGTGTGTGTACCTGTGTGTGTGTGTGTACCTGTGGTGTGTGTACTGTGTGTGTGTACCTGTGTGTTTGTGTGTGTACCTGTGTGTGTGTGTGTGTACCTGTGTGTACCTGTGTGTGTGTGTACCTGTGTGTGTGTACCTGTGTGTACCGGTGTGTGTACATGTGTGTGTGTACCTGTGTGTGTGTACCTGTGTGTGTGTGTACCTGTGTGTGTGTGTACCTGTGTGTGTGTGTACCTGTGTGTGTGTACCTGTCTGGTCTGTGTGTGTACCTGTGTGTGTGTGTGTACCTCTGTGTGTGTGTGTGTGTGTACCTGTGTGTGGTGTACCTGTGTGTGTGTGTACAACACGCTCGCGTGTCTGCAGCCGATTAGCACGCTCGGCTATGTGTGGCGTGAAAGCGGTTTAACATA